AAAAAAAAAAAACACACATCATGGTAAAATCAATACATTCATCGCTCCGCTCAGAATCTAAAATGTGTTTCATTCAATTATACTAAGGAAGTAAATCAATCACGTATCAATAATATTATAGTAATCACAGTAAATCCACGATTAACGATTGGTATGTTTTTATACATCAATACAAGATAGTGTTTATTAACCACCATTTTCTTCTTTCTGAAATATATATCGCGAAAAATTGATAAAAATTGGTCGTGAGTCCAACAAGGTTGAAGACACTGCGCTAATAAAATAAATCACATTATAGATAATGTCATTGCATATAATTACACTCCGATTTGTGCACAAGGTCCACCGTTTGACACTACTCCGACTTTATTGTACAAGCCCATCGGCATACTCGACGGGGGCAACTCGAATTCCGGGTCAGAGATTTCGTTTTCAACGTCATGTTGCGAGAATACGAACAAAAGTGAAACTATAGCGATCAATATCGCCAGTCCTACAAGAAAGAGAGAACGGTTTGATTGTAATCTGAAATAGAAACAATATTAATAATATTATCCTTCCGCATGAGTGATGAACGTCTATGACTATAATATTATTTAAATTATTCGGTTTTTTTTTAGCTTGTGAAATTTTAATAATATTATACACTATATACGATTATGTCGTTAGTGAAATGGTTTTATAAAAATATAAAATAATTTTATTATAAATAAAATGAAATAAACCATACAATTAATAACTTCAGTTAAATAAACACTAATTATTTTATCATCATTAGATGAGTGTAATTTTTTATAAGAAATTGTATTTTTTTTTTTTTTTCCAAATAAAATATAGTATTTACATCCGTCTTATAGTATCAACATATACATTTCAAATTATATGGTATCCTTAATAGACAATAATAGCTGGTGAGATAATTAAGTAATACACCAACTTAAATAACGTACCTGCAAATAGCCATGTTTTGGTCTGTCGTCTAAATGTTTTTCATAAAGCTAAAACAAAAATTAATGTTCTTACTTAAATTGTATTACTWAGATMATTCGTCAGACAAATTTTTACCTAATATAAGCGTATTACCATTGGTGCTACCAAATGTCAACTGAATATGTAAYTGTCTTTATGATTATGACAAACTAGAAAATACACATTTGTCGTATAAATTCTGTGTATGTGTTGTAATACTTYCAACTTAATTATTCACTTCACACTTGTCTGTGTTTAGCACTTTTACAGGATTTACATTCACTTTTTATGTGATAAGTATTATAAAACGATATAGATAACGAAAATTAAGACTAAGTAATAACTAATAAAGTATTATATGTACCTATACTTAGGAAGACGTCACACTCGCATCCCGTGTGTGTTGTCTCATCCGTCTTTTGTATTTATCAGCCTTCTTGAAATATTGAAAAATATAATATTTTATTTTTTATTTTTTGATATATTTGACAAAATCATCACTAAGTTACGCTGATTTCATAGCTGATTAGTGATTATCGGTTCACGATTATGTTTTTCTTTAATATTTATATATTATAATGATAATTGATGATACTAATATTATATTTATATTCATAATATATCAATATACAAATATGATATTAGCCCTATTATAGGCTGCAAATTATAAATTATAAAAATACTATTATACTTAGGATTTAATAAATGTAAAATTTTAATTTTATTTAAATTTAAACAGGAATACTATAAAAGGTTTTAATTCATAGATCATTATAAAAGGGACTCTGGTTATTTATAATTATATCTAATTAACAATTATAAAATATTAAATAAACATGAATTAAGAAATTTATACAAGTATGTAATTCATGTGTTTTGAAACTTTTTTAAATATGTTTATATGAATCTTTTGTAATTTTTATAATGTAGGTCTAGGTATGTAAAAAAATTAATTTCATGAAATTTTAAAACCCTA